TTTTTATATTTTTTATTTTAAAACCCAGGATAGGGCATATTAGGTGCACTGGCACAGACAATTCCACTTTATTTGATTTTCCTAATGGATGGAACACTGAACATTTTGTCAGTTTATCTTAGTATCTGAAAGAGTACCTCATTTTGTTTTGTATTCTGATCTCATCTGTATCTAGATTGTGTACGTTGGAAGAAACCCGAAAGATAATGCAGCTTCGCTCTTTAATTTCCACCATTCATGTAACGTTTTAAGAACTTATGAATCCTGGGATGTGTTTTACAAAGCTTTCTGTGCTGGCGATGGTATGTTTTTTTTTTTGCTTTTTTATTTCATTCGATGCAGCTCAATTAACTTACTCTTTCTATTGTTAATTTAATTCAATTTAATTACTTTATTTCAGATTCTCCATGTACAGTACTGTAAACACAGTACAAGAAAAAATATATAACATATTTAGACATAAATAATCCACAACCAGCACTGAGTGTCTCATCCATGATATGATGACGTCACAATAGTAGGCCTACAATAGACTAAAATAACAGCACTAAGTCTTCAAGTGTCTCATCCAGTTCATATATATTTTTGACTCATGCATGCAAGATTTCTCAACAGCATTTACAAGAATATTGCTAATTCTGATCATGAAACCAAATCAGGTTTTTCTTGAGAATTCAAGAAATAGAAACATGGAACATTTCTTGTTACAAACATCTGACTACTACTACAGTGTCTTTGAAGCACCAAGCATTCTTCTGAAAGCATTATTGTAACACAGCTGCTCCCTTCACCGGATATTAATGATTGTAAACCATTACATTACATGGTTTACAATCATTAATATCCTGTAAATTGTCCAAGTCAAGAATATAATTAAACATATCACAAGATTTAACATGGTCTTAAAACTTTATATTCATCATTATTATTAAGTTTGCCTCTATTCAAAGTGCTCTGAGATGTGCTAGAAGAGAGTTGAATTTTGTAGTTTGATGACAATCAGATATTTTTTGATGATGGCCTAATGAAGATCAAAATATTGAATCACAATGACGAGTCTTACTTTATTTAGAGTATGTTTATACTAGGGGCCTGTTTCTGCTGAAGAACTCCAAAAAAAAAATTTTTTTTTTTTAAACGGTTCAAATAACTGTTTATAAACAAAAACTAGGTTGTAACCAATTTTCGAAAAACGGTTTTTAAATGTGTGGTCATTGTTGCGATGACATCATTTTATCCCAGAACGCAGTTCGTACAGCGGAAATGCGGCCGGCTGAACTCCAGGAGGTCACACATATGGGCGGACTATTCTAATAATAATACTGTACTAGCAGTATTGATTACTCCGGTGTTTTGATTTTTCGTTTGTACACCGCCCTTTTGCTGCCCTTTAGCGTGCCTCCCACCTTTTCCTCACCTTACAAAGTTATCACAAATTTGGTAATTTCTTCTTTTCACATAATTTTCTTCAATTTGTTTTACTTCGTGCGAATCTCTGCAAGTTGTGTCGGTTGTGGTTCGTGCTTCGACATTTCACACCGCGAGGTCAAATCACGACGGCTATTTGGTTGATAAATATTATTATGATATCAATATTTTTATCTCGACTACTACCCTACTCTAATTTTGTCGCTACATGTCAATATTTTGTAAGGCAAAAAATGTTTGTGTTGCCCAAGTTTTACTGACCTAAACTCTTAAAAATTTAAGGTCAGCATTGTAAAGAGTTTAAGAACGTCATTTTTGTATTGTGTTTTGCCAAAATTCATAAGTAGAAAAACTACAGTCCTATACAGTATTTATCTATAATTATCATCTTAGTTCATGGTGGCTCATGGTTTGAAATGAACCTTTACTGGTGGAACAAGAGGGATGAAGATAACATACTTTTTGTCAAGTATGAAGATATGAAGAAGGTACGGTACATTTTCCCTAGTTGCTATTGCTATTGTGTCGGTTGTGGTTCGTGCTTCGACTTTTCACACCGCGAGGTGGATCTAGATTTTGTTTTTTTCAAAGACTATGTTCTGAGAGTGCTTGACCAGGTCCGAGGGGGCAGGTAGAGGTGTTCTCTTACATATTGTGGGCTTCAATCTCCAGAGTTTAAGTCATTGTATCTTCTTATTTAAATGAATTCACACTTAGAGATTTCTTTGACCGGCCCTACCCAACGATAAGTTCCAGGATTCTCCTGACACTAGAGGAGAGTACCTGTTAAGGGAAGGGTCCCAAAGTGGCTGACAGGTTTATTCTTTCATTATTGATTCATTCATATATACAAATTTTAATAAAACCTCAATGGTTTGGCTGTGTATATGTCAACCATTCTCATGGTCAGTGACAGCCAAGTGTCTTCAACATGATGATGGCTAGTGTAACAAGTAAGTAAGAGAGGGTGAGCACCACTTAAGTCTCTCTTGATTCTGCCAATTGTTCTCTGAGTAAGAAAATGATAAAACATATCTTAGAAAAACATTATTAGGGAATAATACAAAATATAAGGGTCTGAAAACTCAGGTGAGGCGTTGGTTTTGTATTTTATGGGGCTGTTAAATGTTGAACTTTTTACTTGTGAATTCTCTTTTAAGGATCTTGGCAGTGTTGTCTTGAAAGTATCCGAGTTCTTTGGTTGGGAGATTCCTGATGGAAAACTAGAAGAAGTTGTTAAACACTGCTCCTTCAGCAGCATGAAACAGAATCCAAAGACTAACCACACGTCCAGTGAATGGATGAAGTCTGCCTTTATGAGAAAGGGTAATTGTTTTTTTTTGTGTCATTAGATTTAATCGTTAATGAATTGTGCAAATGAGTTTGGACTTGCCAATTGTGTACTGGCCATGTACTAGCAGTATCCTGACCGCTGATGTAATTATTGATAGTTTAATGTCTATGTCGTGCACATTTTGAGACATTTGCACAATTTACAAATTGTGCAAGCTCTTCCTTGCAAGTTCATCATTGAATAGCTGTGTACCTGTTAGTTCAATCTCGTACACATTTTTTCTTTCATATTTTATTGTCTGTATTTTTAGGTGTTTGTGCTCTTGTATTTATATTAATATTGTGCATTTTAAAACTGCAAATACAGAAAACTAAATTGAAGTGAGCTGACATTTAATGTACTCATAATTAGTGTACTGGCAATAGAGGGATTTAGCGATGGGTGTCATGTGACCTAACTTGGGTGTTGGATGTAAACAATCCACTGACACAGTGGTGTTTTACATGGAGATTTCTATCGCAGCCGCCCCTTATTTATTGCTGTAAAGATAATCATAATTCCCAGTAAGCTATCGCACTGTAATGTTTTTCATGTATATGGTTACTGTTTTTATTGTGCAATTTACAATTGTATTACACTCATCTACTGGGATTTTGTGTTAGGCTCACCTTAGTGGTTTTTTTTTTTTTTTTTTTTGCATAAATTACTACATTTCTGATGGGTTTAATACATAACTTGTTTTTTTTTTCTCTTTATAAAGGTGAAGTTGGAGATTGGAAGAATTATTTTAGTGTGAGCCAGAGCGAAGAGTTTGACAAACTTTATGCAGAGAAGATGAAAGGTTCTGGACTGACGTATCAGTATGAGTTGTGACACCAGCAGTAGTCATAATATTCAATTTATAGATCCTTTTAAATTTATATTTTTAAAACTTCATTAACAGTAATTATACATCAGTGTACCAATATACTCTGCAATGTTTTAGAGAAGAAATGAAAATGACAAAAAATTGCAATTTTTATTAATACAAGGTAAGGTTTTGGTACTTAACTAACTAAACTAAAACAATAAAACATTATGACTTAAGTAAAAACAGTATTATTTTTTTTGCTGTATGATTTGTCTCAGACAACTATATAAATTATATATTTATATACATTCAAATCTTTTACTACCAATATTATGTATTATTGGACTAAATAAAATTGATCAGATAATTTTCTATTTTATTGGGTTTATTATGCTAAAAATAATAATAATAAGTATAATGATAATAATAAAATAGTAAAATAAATTTCAATTCTAATTAAGATTAGTGTTTGCAATATATTGTTTGACTAAATTAACCAGGGAATCAAGCTTTCTATTGGGAGTAATATAACGCTTAATTATCAGTAGCATAACTAGGTTCCGAGTGGCGCTGGTTTGAGAATACAGCCAGAGCCCTCTGCATTTAAATTGGGCAACCACGCTAACTATATGCCTAGCTGTATGCAGTCAACATATTATTCTTTACTGAAGTAATCATTCCCCGGGCCACTTAACCCATCCCGGTCTTTCTGTGTTTATAGGCTTAGAGGGTAAAAATATGATTTTATTAATAAGCAATTAGTAGAGATCCGCATAGTACACTATAGGAAAATTATTATACGTAGGTTAGATTTAATGCTTGGAAAAATTTCCTGAGGGCCTGCAAGGCCCGAAGGAAATGTTTGAATGCATTAAATCTAACCGAAGTATACTAATTTTCCATTTAGTGTACGATGCATGCTCTACTAATTGCTTTATAAGTCAATCGCCGTCTTTTGATTTGTTTTTTTATAACCAAATTTTGTAGCAGTCATTGGTTGCTATAGTGATATGATCAGTATACGTGTGCGTATTTACATTTAGCTGTGCGTATGCTGATTTTTGTCCTGCAGTACGCGTTTATCAGCATACATATCAGCAGTACAGCACGGATACGATGAATAACTATTGTGTTAGAAAGAACTTGTTTGTAATGCTATTTTGATAGACTTTCGTCAAAGAAATAAACATTTCAGCATTCGAGAGAGAATACAGTCACTGACGTCCTTTTTGGTCGGTGCATGCAGAGAGGTAAAATCGTGCGAAGATTTCATAACTAGGCTAGGCTACGGCCTAGTAGTAGTAGGAGGAGGCCCGGGCGGCCTCCTGCCTGGCGTAGGCCTACATCTAAATTTGTTCCTTGAGTCTTTAAAATAGGTCTGGAATATTGCTACTTAACGTTCAGTTTGTTGTGTTTATGAGGGTCCATTGATTCAATGAATTCCTTAATTGTTCATACTTAATATTGAATTTGAAGTAACTTTCTTCAGGTTCTAATTAAGCTTGTTTTACGAAAGTAATTTTCAATTACAATTCAATTTTTATCGCGGTGCCCAATGTATTCGCGGTGACAAAAAAATGAGGAATTTTTTTTTCCACACGAACCTAAAAAAATCAAGCCAAGCGTCCACTAATAGAAAAATTAGTGGACGCTGGGGAATAGGCAAATAACATTAAGAGTTACAGTGATGACGTCATGATTGACATATAAAATGAATTTTTGTACATTTCATTTTACTCTTTTTATAAGTAATCCAGAGTACTGTACCCGTCCCACATTTCCAGGTTTTGGGCCGAAATATTCATTTCTAATATACTGTACTAGCGCGAATAAGCGCCCGGGCACTTTAAATATTTTTGAGGGGCACTTATTTAAACAGGGCGATTATGAAAAAAAGAGTGGAAATTGAGGACGCTTATTGAAATATATGAAAATTGAGGGATTCTTAAACCTCCTTCACACTGAACTACTTTGAATAACGTTCCTGCCCGTTCTAAAAATTTCATTAAACGGGATAAGGACGGGTTGAAATGTGCAATTTTGGCTTTTACTACGACAGAACACAGTTTGAAGTAAGTGCATTACAATTGCAGACAGTTTGTTTAGAACAGTTCCAACCTGTCCTTAACCTGTGTAACCCTGTTCGCAGTAAGTTTCAATCCACGGTTTGCACTACAACATGTCCGTTCAAACCAGTTCATGTACTGCACTGCATTCTGAGGCATTGTTTAATACGTTCAGAATGGGGATCTGGATCATGTTCCAGCTCGATCTACTATAATGCAACCCCTATCTGCCCATCCTCAGACAGAAGAATAGAATGAGAACGTGCAGGACGGGGTGGAACGTAACAACATCGGTGTTGGGTCATACTCCTATTTTCCCCCGTTAACACGATGTTCAGCTCATTTTTGACTTGTAAGTTCCATGTTCACAGTGCGGCAATTCCGTTTCCAATACGGCAATCTCATTCGAAATACGACGTTACCCAGTCCTATTTTTGAACAGGTAGAAAGGGATCGAATTTTAAACATGGTCAACGTTCTGGACCACCATTCCCGTTCATATACTACGTCCATTCCGTTCATATTTCGTTCCTTCCTGTTCTCCAGAACTAGTTTGTGTGAAGGGGGTATTGTGGACACTTGGAAAATTTAAGGGGCGTTTTTTTGAATGAAAAAAGGTTATATAATTACATCTGAAAACCGAAGATTATGAATGGTTCTGGTGTAGAAAAGATAATCGTCCAGAGAGCACATGACAAGAATATTTTGAGTTTTAACAGCAGATGAATTAGTGGTATGCTTGTTGGCCATCTGCTGATTGAGATTATCAAGACCACTGCAGGGCTTCATGCAAACTCAGATGAAAACGCAGTGCTAAAGGTGCAAATTGTCGGGAAAAGAAAAAAAAATTAGGACTATACAAATGTATGAAGATGAAGTTACAAAGATACTGTCCAGGCAAGCCCGTAACCAGGGGGCTTCTAACCCCCCCCCCCCTTTTTTCCTGAAGTGCCCTTTTTTGACTAAAAGTGCTAGCCTCTACAACACAAGAAAGTTTTCCTTTTCACCCCAAACAAGTAAGGCCTAGCTAAGCTGACGACGATATTTTGGCGGTCTATTGGAGTGGTCTATTGGTTTATAGTTTTAATCACAGGGCCTAAAAAATCACTGACTGTGTAGTGCATTCCTCTATGGATTAGTGAGTGGTTGAAACAGTTATTGGAAATTAAAAGAGTACAATACAAGACCATGCAGTGGCGGATCTAGAGGGGGTGAATAGGGTGCTAGCCACCCCACTTCGGTGACTGTAAAAAACGGTCACTCGTCTCGTGTGTGCTTCTCAAGTATACATGTTTACTCTCGTGAAACATACACTTTCTGTTTTAAGCTTACAGTAACTTCTTTTCAGATGTCATCCAAGAGCGTCTAGACGTCTACTAATTCAAAAAAATATATATATAAAATGGAAGCGGACGCCCCTTTCAAAAATCCATGATCAAGGGGACATGGGAATACGTACCCAAATATATTTAAGGGGATGGGTGGTTGCTCCCTCACTTTTCGTCTGCAAGGTAGTAATTTCAGAAGTCAAGAAGATGCCTGAAAGTTGTTAAAATAAACTGCATTAATGACTTGTACAGCCGGTATTCTATCTCTGCCCACAAACATCTGAATTACTGCTACAGGGCCTACTACTACTACTACTGCAACTACTACTACTACTACTACTAATAATAATAATAATAATTATAATTATAATTATAATTATAATAATAATAATAATAATAATAATTAGTTTTCGGCACAGTGAAGGTAAATTAGAAATACATCAAAGAAAATTGAGTTTTATTTTCAATAGAACACCACAGCGATTAATTAGAAGATGATGAATTTTACCCTAGACTCATTTCTGGTAATCTAGAGGTATTTCCCCAAATGTTCCTACCTCAGCCCTTAGTTGTGGACTAGCAGGCCCGTAGCCAGGGGGGTTTTAGGGGTTCGGGCGAACCCCCCTTTTGCCAGCGAACCCTCTTAGCCAGAAAACGATCCCCCGTTTCCAAGATAGTGCAATTTATTACAAAATGGGAGCATTTTTGGCACTGTTTATTTGTCGCTATCGATCGTAGTCCGATCGTAGAAATCAAAACAAAGCTGCAGCCAGCTGAATGACGTAAGCAGCAAGACTTCAAAATGAATGTTAATGAGAGGCTTGTTGCCTAGGCTATTTGACCAATCGCGTGCTCCGTAGTTTATTTACTTTGGCACGACGTCATCACAAAAGTTTGGGCGCTCGACATTTTTCACTTCTCTGGGATCGAGGACATGCGACACGCCAAAAATAGCCTAGGAGGAGGATGAAGCGCCGAGAAAGGATAACCGATTTTTTTGCTTCAAGGCCAGCAACGAAGAAATCACGAAATTTAAGAAGTTAGAAAATTCACCCTTGTTTTCACCACATGCTCATGATACTGCCTAGCGGCGGGACCGGTGTACTTTTTCGGGCTAGGCCTAGGCCCTAGGGCATTGTTTAATACATTCAGAATGGGGATCTGGATCATGTTCCAGCTCGATCTACTATAATGCAACCCCTATCTGCCCGTCCTCAGACAGAAGAATAGAATGAGAACGTGCAGGACGGGGTGGAACGTAACAACATCGGTGTTGGGTCATACTCCTATTTTCCCCCGTTAACACGATGTTCAGCTCATTTTTGACTTGTAAGTTCCATGTTCACAGTGCGGCAATTCCGTTTCCAATACGGCAATCTCATTCGAAATACGACGTTACCCAGTCCTATTTTTGAACAGGTAGAAAGGGATCGAATTTTAAACATGGTCAACGTTCTGGACCACCATTCCCGTTCATATACTACGTCCATTCCGTTCATATTTCGTTCCTTCCTGTTCTCCAGAACTAGTTTGTGTGAAGGGGGTATTGTGGACACTTGGAAAATTTAAGGGGCGTTTTTTTGAATGAAAAAAGGTTATATAATTACATCTGAAAACCGAAGATTATGAATGGTTCTGGTGTAGAAAAGATAATCGTCCAGAGAGCACATGACAAGAACATTTTGAGTTTTAACAGCAGATGAATTAGTGGTATGCTTGTTGGCCATCTGCTGATTGAGATTATCAAGACCACTGCAGGGCTTCATGCAAACTCAGATGAAAACGTGCTAAAGGTGCAAATTGTCGGGAAAAGAAAAAAAAATTAGGACTATACAAATGTATGAAGATGAAGTTACAAAGATACTGTCCAGGCAAGCCCGTAACCAGGGGGCTTCTAACCCCCCCCTTTTTCCTGAAGTGCCCTTTTTTGACTAAAAGTGCTAGCCTCTACAACACAAGAAAGTTTTCCTTTTCACCCCAAACAAGTAAGGCCTAGCTAAGCTGACGACGATATTTTGGCGGTCTATTGGTTTATAGTTTTAATCACAGGGCCTAAAAAATCACTCTTCACTGGAGTGGAAGTAGATGTTTATGTAGAACAAAAAAATTTTCTCATTGCATTATAAACCAATCAAAATGCAAAAATATAATCACATGATCACACAGCTTCATTACTACTAATTAATATGCAATGCAGTTTTTAGTATGGCTTTTTTCTTTAATTAAAAGTACATTTATGACCAGAAACCTTCACTGAAAATACCGGGATGGTGTCCGGTAATTGTAATAAAAAGAACTAACAAGCAAATTTGTCTCAGTGCTCTTTGTTTCCTGTTTTTCTTCTGTTAATGTGTAAATTAGTTGGTACAAAACAACATCCAAAAGGAGGCAAATTTACTATTTATGATTACAATTTAGAGATTGTACCATACCAGGATCATGTCATTTTGCCAGTAACTAAAATAATTTGCTCTTTTTGTTGTTGCTGATGGGTGTATATTAGAGCAATTGAATAAGGTGTGTACTGTATATGTAAAGAATGCTGTAGCTTCCGAGGGCTTCGCCCCCTGGACCCCCACCAGGGGCCCTAGGCGGCCCCCCTGTCCCCCAGCCTGGTGTGCTTGCTTCGCTCGCAAGTACCCTTTTATCTAAAAAAGAACTCCACTCTTTAATTTCTGGCTACTGGCTTTCAGGGAGCTCTCATATGTCCAGAGAAATTATCCTTATTTTGAAATTGACTCATTAAAAAAAAATGTGAATCCACGTGACTCTGCAGCTCAAATCGTGCCAACCATGAACATAGTACAATACTGTATGCATTGAAATTTTTTTTAAATAATTGATAGAACTATTTTGCTCCCACAGACACTCTTCCATTATTTCTGAGTCTAGCTTTCTGGGACTTCAATAATGATAATATTTATAACAAGAGCACTCAGTAGAAACCATACCGGTATCTCCGCCCACCGCAAATCCCTTTCTATAAAATAGATCTCCCAAAATATGTTCCTAATTTACTTCTACCACTTCCACCCCAACTCATTTGTTCCGCTCCTCCTTCAAGAAAATAGTAACTCGCCCAAACATTTTTATTTCAAAGAAGGGCACTATTTCCACTTTTAGCCAGGGTTTTTGGGGAATCTTTTTAGATTTAGCATTTTCAACTCATCTACATTCAAACCACTACCTACTTTAAAAAGAAACACTAACTTGGAAAGAAAGAGGTTATTCGCAAGGTACCGTGCGAACAAGAACTTATTCACACAGTACTGTGCGAATAATTTCTTATTTGCACGGTTATTAGCACAGTACCGTGCGAATAAGTTCTTATTCTTATTCGCACGGTGGATTTTCAGATTTATTCGTTGGTTCGTACCCCTTGTCAGCAAATTTATACCACTGTTTCTATGTTACAGATTGAATTTTATATTGAGTACATTCCAAAGGAAAAAATCAGTGCAATGCAATTTCAAAAAACATAATGAAGCCAAGCGGAAAGACGATTTTGTTTGAGTAGGCATACAAATCCAGGGGGCGTATCCAGGGGCGAATATTAATGTTAAGTAAAGAGTGACGTTGTCACTTATGTCTTACGTGATTTTGTGTCTGACTTTATTCTTGTGATTAACTGACTGTGTAGTACATTCTTCTATGGATTAGTGAGTGGTTGAAACAGTTATTGGAAATTAAAAGAGTACAATACAAGACCATGCAGTGGCGGATCTAGAGGGGGTGAATAGGGTGGCTAGCCACCCCACTTCGGTGACTGTAAAAAAACGGTCACTCGTCTCGTGTGTGTGCTTCTCAAGTATACATGTATACTCTCGTGAAACATACACTTTCTGTTTTAAGCTTACAGTAACTTCTTTTCAGATGTCATCCAAGAGCGTCTAGACGTCTACTAATTCAAAAAAAATATATATGAAATGGAAGCGGACGCCCCTTTCAAAAATCCATGATCAAGGGGACATGGGGATACGTACCCAAATATATTTAAGGGGATGGATGGTTGCTCCCTCACTTTTCGTCTGCAAGGTAATAATTTCATAAGTCAAGAAGATGCCTGAAAGTTGTTAAAATAAACTGCATTAATGACTTGTACAGCCGGTATTCTATCTCTGCCCACAAACATCTGAATTACTGCTACAAGGCCTACTACTACTACTACTACTGCTGCAACTACTACTACTACTACTACTACTAATAATAATAATAATAATAATAATAATAATAATAATAATAATTATAATTATAATAATAATAATAATAATAATAATAATAATAATAATTAGTTTTCGGCACAGTGAAGGTAAATTAGAAATACATCAAAGAAAATTGAGTTTTATTTTCAATAGAACACCACAGCGATTAATTAGAAGATGATGAATTTTACCCTAGACTCATTTCGGGTAATCTAGAGGTATTTCCCCAAATGTTCCTACCTCAGCCCTTAGTTGTGGACTAGGCTGTGAAGTAGATAGGCCAAAAATAAATACATCAAAGACAATGTTTCTAAGTTTTAAGTACATCACATTAATTAATTTGGTTGCTGCAAATCGCTTGTAAAACGTCACTTGACTATATAAAGGTGATGTGATGACGAATTTTTATAGTGTCATTTCCGATCATCTACAGCTATTTCCTAAGATTTTCGAACCTCAGGCCCAACCATGGTGGGCCTGAGGTGGGTGTGGACTCACAAAATGTCCCCTTTATATTTCTTGGACATAAATGCATTATACTACTATTAAAAAAAAATGAAAACACGTGTTCTCTGAGGGTCTACCAAAAACGTGAAAATTGTATTATATTTATTTTTTGTTTTTATTTAAAACAATATGCAAGATGAACATCCACGTACAACGAGATGTTATAGCTGATTTAGAATATGGTCCTGCAACGACCAAAAAATGCAATATACAACAACTTAGGTTTACTTTGGTGATGTAGGCCTACTGGACACAGGACTAGTCCTCTATGTCCAGATCCAAATTTGTTGATCCTGGAATTCTCGATGCTTGTTTTATGGTCAAAAACTGGTTGGTCCTTCCAGAATTTACCTACTCTATTCTCTAACGCATAGAGAGAGGGAGCTGTTAAAACTTCATTTGGGAGTGCATTCCACTTTTCTACAATGCGATTGCCAAAGGAAAACCTTCTTAAGTCCGCACGGGAAAGTTGCTTTAGCAGCTTAAAAGAGTGTCCACGAGTTCTGTCTGATACATTTAATTGTAAAAAAATTAAAGACAGAACTATCATAAAAATTATTTAGAATTTTTAATGTCTCACTCATATCGCCTCTATATCTTCTGTAAGGTAAATTTAATATACGGAGCCTATCAGAGTAACCCATTTCATCAAACTCTCAAGATCGCTTTGCAATTGTAAATGATCCCTAAATCCAGATACATCTCGATATAGTTTGGTGTCATCAGCAAAAAGGAAAACCTCTGAATTAACACATCCTGGTAAGTCGTTAATATAAAAAACAAAAAGAAGAGGCCCCAAACACTGCCTTGTGGTATGCCAAGTTTACAACATCCAACCAAGATGATGATTGACCATTCTACAGTGACTCTTTGAGTTAAACAAATAACTTCATACAAATTAGGGAAATAGTAATTACCATTATGGAAAAATAGTTTTAATCGTAAATAATAGCAAAAACTAAATTTCAATATTAAATGATGGTTAGAAAAAACTGTTTTTTATAATTATTTTCAAAGTAATCATTGTACATCGGCACAATAGATAGTTACTTTAATTATTTACACATTAATATTGTTTCGATGAGAAACTATTATTTTTGAGGGCGTAAATTTTCTATCACCAATTGTAAACATAAAGGGCGTTAATACTAATTATATATTCTTTCCTGTTTTCCACTAGGCGATTTTTTTCGCGCGAACCGAAAGCGTCGGTCTGTGCGCATGCGCATTCGCATTTCCTTCGGAGTTTTTGCGAAGCGAAAAAATGCGCAACCAATCAGAGCTGAGGAAGCGAACCGAGGCTTTGATTCGCAAGAATAAATTCGCCTAGTGAAAAACCGGCTTACTGTATCTTATTCCATTTGATTCAGAATATATTATTGGTGTAATTACTGTAAACTGACGTACTTTACTGTATTAACTGATGTGCTGTACTGAATTGATGTGTAGTTGGGGAGATAAGTTGTAAGTTCATGGTCTATGATTTGATATGTTACTGTCATTATTTAGTCTCTCTGAATTACTATAATTTACTGAATAAGTTTGGGTTTATAATATGCATTGATGTTACCTTAATTACAACACTCATTTAGATCTATGCTGAATATTTCAATGCTTTTAACTTATTTTACTGTATTAGATTTATAATTGAGAATTATATTATATAACTTCACATTTGATTCTGGTTTTAACTTAAATATGATTCTGATAAGCTACAATTTATGATTTACTGTATTCAGTGATGCCATTTATTTAATGGTTTTAATATATCTTGTACATTTTATGATAAAGGTTTCCTGATTACCTTATATGCTATATTGCTGGTTACTGACTGATGTATTGTTACTGATTTTGATTCCTTCAGAATTGAATAAATATTTTTATTAGGTAATTTTACTGGATTGTTTATCTCAATACTTGCTTCCAACATCTGACCGATCCCTCGCCTTGCCAAATATAGTGGTAAAAACCTTACTTCTTATGATATCTAGGCCTATAATTTAAATTCAGCTAAAAAAAACTGCTTAACTACTGTATGTACGGTATCTAATTTTGAAACTTGACAAAATACGTACAGCATCATTGACAATTTTACCAGGTGTTCTTTGGCTAAATATATACCGTAACTGTTATCAATATGATGCACTTATTGGGCCTACGTTCCTTGCTCAACTTGGCGCCGCCTCTGCAGCAACTCCGATCAGTTTTCCCACGGTAATACCACCAACTACAACATTGTAATAGGCAGCTATTTCTTGACATCTGAGGTATATGCAATGCATCTTATTGAAAAGTAAGACTAGATATAGATCTGCTGTGATGACGTTGTTGAGTGTATTAGATGTCTACGTTATGCTTTTTTGCTAATTCATACTTTCTAATTTATAAATTTAAGCGCCTTATATTTGTCAATATCGTTGAAAGAAGCCCCCGCAGCGTGCAACATTGACCTCACTTTATTCCATTCGATTTCAAAGTCTTTAGTTGACATTCTGCTGTCGGGAGAATGTGCAAGCTTCGTGTTCCTGTAGTCATGGATGTGCACCAGGTTAGTCAGTCTATCTGGGTTCTTCCAAAATGAGTATGGAATGCTACAGCAGCAGTTACGTATTATTAAATACATAATAGAAATATCGAAAGTCTCAATGTCAGCAGTTGGTGTAAACATTTTTTTGCTCTGTTCTGGAAAAATCTTTACATTTTTTAAGCTACCTTTCCTGTTCTCTGTCATTAGATATTGTCCAACATCTTTCTTGTTTAATTTCGCGCCCTTGTTCTGCATTGTCTTTCCTTGATTAGCAACCTCCAAAAAGTACTCTCTCATTGTTGCAGTGCCGACATCAACGACAACCGATAGAATAACTTGGAAATTTCTTATTTCTTCAACTTTTTCTTGCTCAAACCCTATTATGAGTAACGAAAGAAATTAAAACATAGCTAAAAAGACTATTTGAACAGTAAAGTTATAAATGGCTTATAAATGGGCAATTGTTTATTCGCAATCTAGATTGTATATGACCATTTATGAGTGAGAGCCACTCAGGTTAGTAAGGCAGACTTTTGTAAGTGGATGGCTAACACGAAGCTTAATTTGGTGAGGAAAGGGAGTAAAAAGTGCCAAAAAACTAGTGTGTTTATCGTTATCAAGGTCTTTTCACGTTATTTGTGTCTGACCTTTAATTTGAAATCGTTTACTGTGTCTTAGGACAGCAAGATGCTGAACAATGTATAATTTAATAGTACAATAAATTAAGCAGTAGTTATTACGTTACTTTATTGGTCAATTTATGACTTTCCCTCTTTATAGTCACTGTGATGTTTTAAAAAAACGGCAGTACTGTAAATTATTCACCTCTCATTGGCCGTTCTGTACACAGGTTGCGGTATTTCTGAACAACTTCAGTGGAAACCCCGACACCGCCAAAGATTGTTGAAAGTTCCTTCCATTGCTTTTCAAACTCCACATCTGGGACTTGGTTGCTGTGGCTGCAGTCTAGATTAGTTTCTTTATAGAGTTGAATGCGTCTCAGATTAGCGAGTTCGGATGTGTCTTTATCATCAGGTGGATGCTCCCAGGATGCATCGCCTTTAAGACTAAAGCAGTGATGTATCAAGGACATCAGAAGGGCAATATCAAACGTGTCAATGTTGGCATCGGCTGTGAAGATTTTTGTTCCTTGGTCTCCATAATCTACACCCCTTAATACGCCATTTTGTCTTTGCCATAACAAAAATCTCCCAACCTCGTGTTTGCCTCTCAGTTGACCCTTCTTCATGAAATACTTTCGCATTAGTTCTGTTCCCAAGTCAATGGTTAATGACTGAAGTGCGTAGAAGTTTCTGATTGCCTTGCTGAAGCTCAAATCTAGAAAATTTATAGCGGTACATTACCAGTATAGAAAAATTAACAATACTCAGTAACTAACAATAGTATAGTAACATCTAACATAACAGACATTATAATATACCGTAAACCATATATTGTTTTGTAGTCATTCAAAGATGTTCTGTCTGGGTTAAGAGTAATTGAGAAATGAATAGGCCTAGAATTTTAGTTACAACTTCAATTAAAATTGTCAATAACAAGTTCACAGGATAAGTAAAAAACGACACGTAAAAAACGACACGTATAAGATTTGGTTAAAAGAATAAATATTTTGATATGTTGTACGTCAACAGATTTTTCTAAAAATTTTAATGTATTTAACAAAAAACTCGGAAACCATTCATAAGATACATAATGTTGAATATTTAAAATCGTGGCAGTTAACCCCTTTTATTAATAATTGATTTTAAAGCCAAATAATAATACCTGCTTGAAACAAGGACCGTATTCCAGCTGTTGACATTACTTTTGTTCCGCATGGAACGGAATCGTACTTTAAGCAATAATCTAAACTTTGAAAATGGTGCTTTCCCTGGTTCGAACCAACTAAGCAAACTGGACAAAGAATGTTTAGGTTGTAACTGACACCACACTTGGAAGGATATAAGTCAGTAAGATGATGCTTAAGTACATGTAAAACCTGTCAAAATAAAGAAGGTAAATTTAGATCATTGAAAAAATAGGAGCATTGTGAAACTGCAGAAACTACTGTAGGTCAAAATACTGTAAATTACAGTCCATTATCCGACAAGTTGCTATCAGCCATTGGTCATCTGTCAAAACGTAGGACCAATTACCCTGATTCTACCACATCAATAACTGAAATTAAACTTAACACATTCCGTTTCACAGAAAAATTTCACTCACCACAAAATTTCTCGTTTACTTAAACAATTATAAGTAAACATGCGTACAATAGCTGCTATATTTATTAACTGTACGACAATAATAGAAGTAAGAGCAACAAAAATCCCGCTTAAATATCCTAAGAGATGTTGTTTAGGTTTATTTTTTCGTAGCTGATTAATATTAAATTGAAAGAACATATAAAGGTGATAAAACGCTTATTTAAAATCAAGTAAAAGCTTGTTATATCTTAAAATTAAAAAGTTATTGACACAAGGATGAAATCATAATTCAGCAACCTAAAATACAATGCCCAATCTGATCTGCCCTATATGGTGGCACTATTAAATACGAAATACATACACATACCTCCATGCAAGCTAGAGGTCTTGGCTTTGATGCTGGTTTCTTCTTACCATTTTCATCCATTTCTGTCCTGCGTGTTATTTCCAAATGTTTATAGAAAAAGAACTTAAAAACTATAATTAATGTTCAATTAATGTTCGTACGACACAGTAAGTGCCCGGCTTAAGGATCATTACCATCCGAAGGGATCGGGCATCTTATCTGAGGATACGCTCTGGACAATTGCGAAATTTTAATAGCTCATATTGCATACAGTTATTTAAAGTGTTCCTGAATACGTTATCATCATCATAATTATCAACTTCATTGCCATCATCATCGATTGAACTCAAATAAGTTAGGTATTCAATACGGTAACAAACTGAATTAAAAAGTTTCATCTAGGCTAATCGTTGTATGTTAAATGTGGATTAGCACGCAATACAACGTTTGAATAATAGGTCTACCGAATGTTGAAAAAAATAACGTGTTTACCTTCAATGATCGTTTATCGTTTATGTATACAACCCCAAGTCTCAGGTAATGCATATTGTCGAATCCTATTTTAGCTTGGTTTGCAAACAACTCTGGATTGCTATTGAATGCTTTGTCCTGGCTGAGATCAAGGAATTTAACGACCAAGACACTGTAGACAGCATCAGGAAGAAAAGTTTTGGGGGTCACGTATATCGATGCTGTCTGCACTTCGTCTTCCTTAACTTCTAAGTTGTCTGTTGTGATGTTCATCCGAGAAGGAACGATGAACACTCTATCACTTTCTTGAGATCTCTGCAATAGAATGAAAACATATAATGCAAGTATGATTGCTTGAAATGGAGGAGTAGATCGACAAAAAAATGTCCTGTGATGATGAATAAACAGATGCATTACCTTGTGGCATGAACAAAATACAATTATAAATATTGAGATTATTTCAATAAAGTATTACTATTACATGTAACAATACATATTTTAACATATTAACATATTATGAAAACCTTTTCAAAAAGAAGTCCAAATGTCTTCATAAGTTCAATGAAGTCTTCAAAGATGCCATCACCATCTTCTTTACTGGCAGTGAGTTCATTTCTCCACAAATGACGTACGAGCTGCTCCGCAAGAATTCCTTCCTCGTCTAATTTACGCCAATACTTCATCATCAATGGAGCGACCTAGTACAACATTAAACAACCATAGAAAAACTCTGTGTACTACTGTATTTAGAAAGGCGAGTACAGTACGACATCGTTAAGGTATACCTCACTGCCGTAAGCGATACCCCATAGCATAGATGTGGCCTGTTTAACTAAATAAATCAAACGAACTAATTTTGATCAACGGAATTTTACGATTGAAACAAAAAGAAAGTGAAGTCAATAATATTCTTCAGAATGAGGTACCTCTTTGGTAATGATGGTTAATACACAAACACAACTTGAGTATATAACTGAACAATTCAAACAGTAATTGTTTAAGACCAACAATATAGTGTTTGTCAAACACTATAGGCCCTAGTATTGGTCATTTAAATAATTAAGTGTACCTTGTCAACATCATCAGGTTTCACAACTGTGATTATTTTCATGAAGATTCCAATCAACATGTGGATGTTAGTAATGACAGTGTTCTGTAATTTCTTGTTATTCGGCGAATACAGAATTATTCCAATATCATTTAAGTAGATGAGTACATGAATGAAGTTTTCTTTGTTAATTCCGCATTGAAAGGCAATTTTAGCCATCTAACATAGAAGATATGAATTAATTACCATCATGTTAACCATGAAACAGTTACATTTATTATATTTTCAATAGGCCTACATTAATGATAAATGATATCAACTGATATATAGGCATACGTAGTAATGCAAAACATATAAAGCGGAAGCATTTTCAACAAGAGTTTGAGTAAGTAATGGGTACCTTATCAAAGGACATGCGCAGTGTGTTTTTTCCAGCTTCTTGAATCTTAGTTTGGAAGTCAACCCATTTTATAGGAACAGTTCTGGCCATCGCCTTCATATAACCGCCTACGTTTGTTTTCAGTCTTTCTATATCACCATCCAATTCTGCAGTGTTGTCTACAGCATATCGTTCAAGGTCTACGTGAACTTCGTATGGCTCTCCATTGATTTCCTTAAATATTCTGTCGAATATGCCATTAATCTTTGAATAGAATCGAAACTCATATTATGATTAATAGTGATTCTGAAAGTAACAGGCTTACTGTAATTCTACTAAAAGTTTAAACACACACATACGACTTACCGATGCCTGCTTCTCAACATCACTTCCTGGTAATAGATCCTTGTGGGTTCCAATTAGACTGATTGTGGGTGATGCAATAATTCCATTAATCACAATTTTCTTGTCTGTGCCATGTAGCAGTACAGCGTGTTCATATATAGACCGTATCCAAAATATGATCACTTCCAAATTAGTCATTTCAAACGGTCCCTAAAACAGAGAATTGGGATGTGCAATACTTTAATAATAAACCCTTGTATGTAATAAATACATACAGTGTAGCCCATGTATGTAATAAATACATTATGAATGTATCTAGGTGGTTTACTTACTTTCTGGGGATCTCTCGGTTTTGCCAGTGCATCCAAATTATCTACCAAGCTGAAAACAACTCCGTAAGCCGATCCATCTGTAAGGAAAAACTGGGAAAAAATAGAAGAGCGGGTTGATGAGAAATGATTGATTATGATAATAGAGATACATTCATAATTTCATTTATTAAAAAAACCCTTAGCATTAAAATCAACCAGGCCTATAGTTTCTTCAATTTCTGTGCACAAAACTACGACATTATTTGACCACACTAAACATATATATAAATGAGCGATGGTTTTATATAACACAGGCAACAATTATGAAATTGGGCACTCTATATATATCTGTCTCTTATACACATCTGAATGAGGTACCTCTTTGGTAATGATGGTTAATACACAAACACAACTTGAGAAAGGCATATATGTAGGCCTTTATAAAATGCTTATACACATACATCACATACATGATTACATATAATGTACTGTATAGAGAAAAAATTGACCACTTACCCGATGAGTTATATAATAAGTAAGGTGACCGGCATAGTCCCATATGCAAGTTACATCACTCGGACCGACATTTCTGCTATTGCCATGGCTCTGGTCGTCAAGTTTACCAACAAGCTTCTTGTGGATTTCGTCTGGGATTCTATTAATATTTACATGGCTTCTTATTGGCCGATAAGTCGATACTGCTTGAGTGCTCGGAGATACTTTAGGTTTTTCTGCCAAAACATAAACAAAAATGAAGTAAATTTCGTCTTCCATCTGTGGATTGAGGACGAAAAACGAAAGATAATCTGAAGCGATGATGATGGCAATCCGCAAGACATGATAAATAAATTTGTTGAAACAATCGTATAGGCCTATAAAGACACTAGTCTAGCGGCTCCTAATGAATGGACGTTTCCAGAGTGTCAATCAAACGTAGAAACTAACAACTGGCCAATTAGAACAGTGCCAGGAGTACACGCACGTGTTGTCCTACAAACGCATGTTATTGCGTACGTTTACGTACGATGCCATTTTGTGGGACCTTCGCAACAATATCTAGTATGAGGATCAGTATTACATAAAAGGTTTCATAATCAGTTTTAAGCAGGGCACACAGTCTGCAATGTATGACGGCCGTAGGCTACCTTTAAAGAGTCTGTAGAACCAACCAAATGCTCCTCTATGCTCAGATGAGGATGACGATGCAGGTAAAGATTTCGACGTAGATGTCATTTGTTGGCTATCTGTTAGCTTATTTGCGACACCTGTAGTTATATTCTCACGTAGCACCTGCTTGGTTTGATGGCTTTCTGTCAACTTCTTTGCAACAGTTGCAGCGATAGCGTGCTCATGTACCTGCTTGGCTCGTTCACACTCTGTAATTATGACATGCGCATTGATTCATATAAAAATAGTAAGCTAATAATAATGATAATAATAATAAGTCGATTTATTGATAAATTGTTTAACTGGTTAATTTGTTAAATTTACACAGGTCTACATCGTTTCGTTTATAGGATCGTACCGTCCACATCCGTTTGCTCTTCCCATTTGCTACAATCCTCATCAACAGTTTGAAAGACAGTCGTTGTGACGATACCATCGGTGGACGGCTCATTCTTATTAAATCTATCATGCACGTTTAAAAATATAATATATTACTATATATAGTCATTATTAAATCAGAAACAATCATAACATTCCAATTCAAATTAGGGCCTATATGGTTATGGACCAACCATTATATTATAAGTAGGCCTAATTGGTTACGAGATTCGTTCAAAATATTACGAACAGGTGTTTTTATATGGTAAATCCATCTGCTACTTTTTTTTTTTCTCTTGCCAACCTTTTTATACGCTTTGGTGACACGAAAATTAACGACGAACAAATGAATTTATCACAAATTCTGATCGGAAAGCATAAAAAATATCAGAAGAGTTCATGAAACAACCGTAACCGATGAGGATGTCTGGATGTATAAGAACTTATATCATATGTGTACGCATAATTCGCGTGCGTAAAAAAGGAAAACCATGTCGATGAAAAAAAAATAAACGTAAACATGTAAAAGGCAATAGAAATGTAAAACAATGCATGTTCTTGTACTTGCCCTTTCCCAAGCATGGCATTTATACAGCTTGTCTTTCCTGACCCCTCATTTCCAAGGAACATCATTCTTGAATTAACAACTGTTATTTCACCGTATTTAATAGCATCTTTGAATGCCATAACGGCATCGTGACCCCTGGCTAATATTTCTGATGGAACTGATAGTTCTAATGAATATAGAATACAATAACTTGAGTATTTCGTGTTGTTTGTACATTTACATTTCAATATAATTTATAGTCACTTTCTAAATCAAATATTTGTTTATTATTTATTTATTTATTTATTTTTGGAGTTCACAATGTACCTTCGATCAATTTTCTCAGTTCTTTCTTCCGGAAACTTCTCGTGCTTTCTTCGTATTTTGTACATTTATTATCATCATACGAATCAAGAGGCGTCTTTCCACTCTGTATTAAGACAATTTCTCAAAATCGTAAAGACATTTGATTGAATTGCGGTTCAGCAGAAAACAGTAGGTCTAATACATTGTTTAAAAAAACATAGACTGATTTGCTAAGGAGAATAATAGTATGGTATGTACGGTATCTGTTACCTCATCCGTTATTGTAACAGACGCGCCATACGTCATTAGGCACAAAGTCTTCTCTCGCTGTTCCTCGTAACTACGTGGACCAAGTAGGCATATATGTAGTGGTGTGCGTCCAAACTACGAATGATATCAAAACACAGAAATAAATGAAATCGGCTCAAATAATTTATAACGATTATATACCATGACCATTATATGACATGTAATAATATTGATAATAAAAATATAAACAAAATAAATAATAATAATAATGATAAAGATGATAATAAAATAATAATAATAATAATAATAGGCCTAATAATAATAGAAATAATAATAACAGGCCTAATGATAATAATAATAATAAATAATAATAAATTTTCCACTCATGCGGAGAGGAAAATATTTCTCATCTAGTTCTAAATAGGCCCTACATACTTTTTTTTATTTGGCTTATATGTAAAAATAACACTAAATTAAAATGTTGAATATGTTTTTGAATGAGATCGATGGTCTATGTTACTATGTGTGATTACAATGGAATATTTTGTTCCATCCGGCTTACGCCTCGTTGAATAAAACATTCCATCTTTCATCACATTATACAAATAATGAATGTTTATGAGCGCAATGGGAAGAATATTTTCATGAGTTGAAAGATTGACTATTCCACTAGACGAGGCGGAGCCGAGTTGAATCAAACAGTCAATCTTTCAATGAATGAACTTATATTCTTTTCATTGCCAAAATAAAAAACATTCATTATTTGTTTTATAACACACCTAAACTAGATTCTTGTCATTTGATGTTTTATGAGAAAAAATCTACCTTTCTTCTGAATGCAGATTCTTGTTATTTGATTTTTTATTTTAAAAAAAATCTACCCTTTTTCTAAGGAAAGGTTTAGCGTCTTTTTAACCAGTCGATAGATAGTACAGGTTGAAGCCATGCTGTGTTCGTATACTGTAAGCACTACTGTATTACATTACTCACGATGTCTGTCCGATTAACGTGTCTGTTCGTCTTTTCTAAGGCCCGTCTCAATACAGACACATAAGAGTACTCCGCCAAGAAATGGAGAATAGTTGAACGATCCTAAGACAAACGTAAACAAATAAATACAAACGATATCGTAAAGCTGTATATACTCTAGTGGCGATGGACAGAGCGCCCAGGGCAAAGTACTGGGGCCCGGGGCTATAGGGGCCCGTTCAATGATAGGCCCCTAAAATCTTTTTAAAAAAAAACGTTTCCCACTTCATTTTTGATAGAAAAAATAGCCAGTGAGCGAGGTTTTAGAGGCAAAAATTCTTGACTATTGTGTTTATTATAATTGTGCATTCTTTTATTTATTCTTAAAAACTGAAAACGTAAATCAGTAACTACAATTTTTAAATTCAATCAAATGCGGCTCGTGTAGGCTTAAAGCTAAAACGTCGGAATCTCCGAGGGGTTGGAGAGGAAAAGGAGAGTACAGTATAAGCGAAGCGATTACCGGTACAACTTGGCAAGTTCCTCTTGTACCAGGATACACAAGAATGATCATATTTAAGAACTTGGGTGTTTATCTTTACTTGGCAGAATATAGCGGAAGTAAATTAATGCCTGAGCTGATATTTTGTGGGTTTTATATCACTTTTTATACAAAAACAAATATACTAAATCATAACTTATAGACAATTATTGTTGTCCGACATGTTTGTGCATTGATAATTTTTATTTATACCCTAATGATGCTTAATCAGCAGAGAAACCTTGGTCCCCGAAAAATGGCCACGGGGGCCCTGATTTTCACTATACTAATCATGCATACCCTAACCATGCCGTAGATGTGCAGGGGCCTAGGCCTAACATTTGTAAAAAAAAAAATCTGAATGTTTGCGGCCAGTGTCCTTTACAGCATTAGCAAACCATTAAGGCAAAATTCTTAAGTCTCCAATCAATTTGGTATAGTTTACTGGGAATTATAATGATCTTTACAGCAATAAACAACGGACGGTCGCGATAGCAATCTCCATGTAAAACACCACTGTGTCAGTGTACTGTATTGTTTATATCCAACACCAAAAGTTACAGGCCCGTATCCAGGGGGGTTTTTATGGTTCGGGAGAACCCCCTTTTCTAGTAAACACCCCTCTTTTCTGGCGAAAACCCTCTTAAATTTCCCAAATAAGTCCTCTAACCCAATTAATGCACTGCACGACCTGTCTCTTATACACATCTAGATGTGTATAAGAGACAGTAATAATAGGCCTAATAATAATAAGCCTATACTAATACAATGCCTAATACTAATAATAATATGCGTAATACTAATAAGCATGTTAATAATCCTCATAACATGGCTAATAATACTTATCTGCCATTAACAAGCTTAATAATATGTAATTCATAAACAAATACCCATTTAGCAATATATTGAAAAATATTTATAATAATTATTAATATCATTATGTTTTGTTATTTTAAGAATGTGAACCTGGCAAGTATGGCGCTGACTGTCTACAATATTGTCATTGTAACGCTGATCAGTGTGATCCTTCCAGAGGCTGTCATATGAACGCAACATGCCACTCTGGTTACAATGGTACAAGATGTTTAGGTAAAGAACATTAAAATCTTTGAAATAATAAGTTTTGGACCATTTAAAGGGGGGGGGGGGGCGGGGGATAATTGTGTGGTTATGATGTTTGGCTTTGAATTCCAATATTCTCTGTTCGGAAATAACCTACTCATTGTTTCATTATATTATACCTTTACCATTAACCCATCCTAAGAAAGAGTACTCCAAAGTTACAAATCGACAGTCAGCAAACTGAGTCAGCTTTAGCGATTTCGTCGGCTGATCATCGGCCGATGGTCCATACAGGCCGTCGTGTGAGGAAGAAACAGTGGCGGATCCAATTTAAAATAGAGTGGGGCCAAGAGAGGAAAATCATATCGTTGTGGCTGAGGTAGGCATACAAAATGTCAATGTTAGTCGCACCTCTGATTGCCGGAAATGACACCCTCGTACTTTAGTTTGAATATAATCGTTTTACTATTTTTTTTAACTTTCAAAAATTTAGGCTGCGCCCTTCCCACCTTCATTTTTATTGACCCTGAGGCATATAGATTTTGTTTATCTGCAGAGAAGCAACGTTTCAACTTTTCAAAATAGGGATATAAACTTGAAATTGTAGGCCCCAATCTTATTTAGTCTTACTATTAGAATTTATCGAAAATGCGGCGAATAACCGCAATCATGTCAATAATATGCATGTACTGGGCATGCTAAAATTATCATGACTACTAGCACGTTACCAACAACAATGACGGTGCTATGGAAAAACAAATTTACCAACCTGCTGCTCTTAGAATAGCGATCGTCAGACTGATAAAACAGGCAGATACAAGCTTAGTAAACTGAGTGATTATATAATTAATTGCAAAATTGTATCCTAGGTGAACATCAGTATGGATTTCGTGAGAATCATTCTACCACTCACGCAATAACTAACCATATATATAATGTCTTAAATGCTTTTTGAGAATCACGAGAACCTATCGCAATATTCATGGATCTTAGCAGAGCTTTTGATCTAATTAATTACAGAATATTGTTTTCTAAACTAGCTCATATGGAATAAGAGGCATCTTCCTAAATTGGGTTAAAAGCACTTAAATAATAGAAAGCAACTTTTCACTGTAAACAAATACGATTCGGTACTGCTTGATTGGTGTGCTACAAGGCTCCGTCTTACGGCCACTTTTATTTCTTATTTCATAAATGATATATGTAAAGTTCATTATTAACTTTCTGCTGCGGACGCTACAAATACATAATTGTATTGGTAATAATGTTTATCAACTTGTTAACTAATGAATAATTAACTGAATCAAATTAATACATGATTTCAAGGTAATAATCTCCAGCTAAATGTGGATAAAACAAATTTGCGTTTCATACTAGACAAACTAATGTGGATCTTCAAAATGTTAATTGAAATTAACAAGTCAATAAGGCAAAGAAATAGTGACCTTTCTCGGAATTCTAATTAATCAATATCTCAGTTGGGTATGCTTTCATCATATCAATAATTTATTCTTCAAGGTCTCCAAAGTAACAGGTACGGTATAATATGCAAATCAGAACAATATTTTCCTCAATTGATTCTATTAATCTTATATAACACTCTTATACTACCCTATTTTGAGTATGGCAATTTAGTATGAGGAAGCACTTACGAAAATAATATCTTACCCCAAAACAGCAAAAGCGTTTAGCAAGGACGATTAATTCCTCACACTACAGACACCATTCTGAGCCCCTATTTAAATGACATAAGGTGTAATGCTTTATTCACAAATACATAGGGCTAAATAGAAAAATATTACTTACCTGACAGAATAATGAATATGATAAGAGAAGTCGTTAAAAAAGAAGTTAGAAGTTGTAGAAAAATATTTCTAAGTATAACTTAAGAAACCAACCAAAATTAAGAGTTCCATTTTCTAGGCTTACATCAAGCTAACATTTCATCAAAGTATATGGTCCATATTTACGCAATTTCATCTGAATTCCAAAGTGTAACATCTGTAAACACATTAAAACACTTATAACTTCTAACACTAAACTAAAACCATGGAAGTTCAGCATACAAAATAATAATGATGAATAATATTATATTAATTAGCAATATAATAATAATGACTCAGTTGAATTACATTTGTAAATAATCAGAAGAGAAACGTTTTGTTTATTTTACTTTTACGAAGAAATGTGTTATTTTCTGTTCATTTCATGATAATGTTGTATTTGCTGTCTTTGAAGAGGGGCGACAGGGAAGGGCTCATACGTGTTTCTATATCGTCCCTTGACCGTTTTATGTATCAGTAACTCTGATTTATTTATTTTTTAAGATACATAACAATTAACATTATCAAATTTATTGGCTAACATTTTTATCATTCTTTATTTATTCTTTATTACTTTATTAGTATTTGTTCAATTAAAGATTATAAGATATTTAGATTATTGCACCATGAATCATTGTAATCAGTGGCGGATCCAAGAATTTGAAATAGAGGGGTTCAGGGAGGGAGTTTGACAGATGGCGGGTCTATACCACCTCAGCCCCAGAAAATGTACGGTTATAGCACCTCTAGATGGCAGGAAATGGCACTCTCAGACCGTAGTATGAATGTAATTTTCTTTTTTTTTTCCCCAGATTTTTTACACTTTTTGAAAAATTTAGTGAGGGGCGGGCCTGCTGGGCCCCACCCCCTTGAATCCACCACTGGTAATGCCTCTGACCCTCAGCCTCCTCTCCCATGTTAATACTCCTTGATATGCTACCGTATTTAGGCCTCATGTTCATCAGCTTAAATGTGTGGGTTGAATTCTTTTTTTAATATATTGGCTTAGATTAGATTTATTCGGTGTAAACACCAAAGATAGCCCACGAAAGTCTAAAAGAAGACTTATTTCCAGTGGTGTCCTTCTGATGGTGATTGGGCAGTACACCGAGACACAATCCCCTACTCTTTTCCGAAGAGTGTACTGCGTTCTTATGGCTTGTTTTGTCAGCTTGTCGCAGCCATACCTCCATGGTCGCAGCATGTCACTAATGCCAATATGAAAAATAACCATTGATTCTGTTCTCTCTTTTAACTTCAGGTTGTGTACGTTGGAAGGAACCCCAAAGATACTGCAGTTTCACTCTTTCATTTCCACCGTTTAAACAAATTCTAAGAACTTACAACTCCTGGGATGTGTTTTACCAAGTATTCTGTGCTGACTGACTATGTTGATCACTAAAATAAGTCAATATGTGACGAGTAAGAAATGTCTACAGACTGCATTCATCACAACATGTATTGTATAAATCTATTGTTTACCATATTATATACCTATAACACCTCAGTCACATGGCCTCTATATGCAAATTACTTTAAATATGCAAAGTAAGGTAGAAATAATAGAGCTAAAATATCTTGGCAGCTGCTAGTCGCAGACAAATTGTCGAGGGCATGAATGTTTTTATTTAATGTAATACAACAATTGTTCTAAAAACGGCAGTAAATGACTCATTCGACCTTTATTGACCTCTGACTCGTCAATTCCAGCAGGTATGTCTCGTCAGACGGGCAGTTCCAAGACACCCATAGGATGACCTTTGCAATAATACAACTAAATCATGTGGTCATTTTATGCAAATAAATGGCCCCTGGCTCCCGGACTATAAAATAAGGTTAAAAAAAAAAGTAAAGGTAGGAGAATAACCCATAACTTGCAGCGTCATTGTGCTGAATTGCGTATGGGCGTGGTCCGTGACTACCTAGCAGCCGTAAAGAGACGCTTCTTGGTAGATAAATGTTCATATTCCACAACGACAGGGGCTGAAATGAACCATAATATCGGGGTAACCCCCTACTCTTCCGAAAGATGTTATGGGTTCTTTAAAGTGCGCATGTATAAGTCCTTATCCAAGAGGACTTCGTTCTACCAACCAACCATGGGCGAGGAGCGGCTGGAACCAGCGCCGATGAAGGCTGTAGCTAGCGGCACCCCTGCCTTAACATCGGCCACTCGACTATAATGTCAACAAGAAAAAAAAAAACAATAATATCCTTGACTAATAAGTAACATTGAGACGATTGTTTAATTGTGTAAAGCGCTATACAAGTTGATTTCCATATTAACGCTGAATTCAACTCCGCTCCCATGATTGTTGGTGGCAGTCCGAACGGATCGTCATTAAAAACGTTCCGTTGCGCGCACGTCGTCGTGTTGCGTTCTCCATATAATCGCGTCGGGTGGTCGACCGTCGGGCGCAGTAAGTGGCCGGCTTTACATGCGGCTTTACATGCTAGTCAATGTCCAAACTTAACGATAGTAGGCCTGATTTCTAACTCAACCTTAATTGCCAGCATTTTCAGTATTGTTTACTTTTGTCAAATATTACTACTATTGTTATTATTAATATTAATATATAATCATGTATAGGTCTAGGTTATCGTAAATACGGTAGTTATAAACTATTTGAATTGCATCTTCTGCACACAGCGTAGCATAGAAAAGAAATGATATGAATAGATTTGTTTTTATCTTATATCCATTTTTGTTCAGTTAAAATATTTAAAATGCTGCTGCAAATAAGACAGCCTCTAATACAAATATGAAGGAAAAATAAATGAAAATTTGCAAGAGTGCTAACTTTAAGCTATTTTTAAATTAAATTTCTAACCCCAACACCAGCTCTGTGGCCCTTTTGTTTATATTTTAATTTTGCCCTTTTTAGGCCCCAGTGATGTCATGACTTTAGTAATCAGTTAGAGGTATCTAAGTGATGTGTTTAATTTAGATGGCGACAATTGCCACTTCAATTGTTACATTATTAACAATATTTATTTGTTTTGTATTCTAGATAAGTTTGACTAGTATAGATTATTGGCTTGTTGTGGAACAAAATAGATCATACTAGACCAATTTGATATTTGTTAATAGCTTCGTCGTTTTAGAAACAGGTAATATAATCGTCTTTATTTTTTTTTTAATTAACGCAAGATTAGTGTTAACCAGAATTATTATTTATATGTGTAGTTGAACGTCAGATACGATCCTGATTGAATCATTTGAAGTTTATTAAGTCGGATGTGTAAGTGTTTCACAAGACAATGTTGCAGTAGCTCTGATAAGGAAGACTAAGTGCACGGTAGTTGCGAAGGAAATTGGATGGAACAAATTAATGAAGATCATCTGTAAATGATACAAAGACTTTTGGATATTTTATTTACAATAGACCTTTCCGGAGTGTCAATCAAACTTAACAACTGACTAATCAAAACAGCGCTAGGAATACGCGCGCGTCTCACAAACACACGTGTTGTCCCACAAACGCACGTGTTTGCGTATGTTTTAACATTGTCGTCTTGTGGGACTTTAGCAACAATATCCAATGGGCGGGGCTTAGCGGAAAGGTCCATTACACTGATTTGTCACGGTTTCTTCCATGTTTGTCCGCTATAGGTGAATCCCTAAAAAACTTACAGACCCGTAGGCAGGGGGGTGCAGAGGGTGCGGACGCACCCCCACCCAAATTCCAAAAGGTCCACTTTTTAAAACTTATTATTTCACAAAATCGTTCCTAATTATCATAAAATGCTATAGCATGCATTGCATTATATGTTTGCCAGCACATCTAGCCGTTGATTTTAAATATATGAAATTTGTTGGAGATTTATCGTCTCCGGTGACTGCAGATTGATCTATAATATAAACAATATTATCTGTAGGCCTTCAGATGTACATGACATAATAACGTTACTTCTTCAGCACCCCCCCCCCCCCCACCAAATAATGAAAATTTAAATAAAATATTCACGAATTATGTGTTTGAGAAATCCATTATATAAGACCCTCAAAATGCTACTTTGTGGCAGCCTCCTGGGGCTTTTCTCAAAAACTCACTCCAGGTCTCTGCCCCTGGGCCTCAAAATTTCAAAAAGTCCACTTTTTAAAACCTATTATTTCATTAAAATCTTTTCTAATTATCACGAAATGTTATAGGCCTAGTATGCATTACATTTTTTTGCTCGCTCTTCTAACCGTTGATTTTTAATAATGTGCTACGAAATCGACCTACAGATGTAAAAGACATAAAAAGTTACAACTTCACAGTGACGGATTAGGGGTGGGGGGGGGGCGGAGATTTAGCAGATTGGACATTAGGAATTTCGTAATTATCAATATAAAATATTAAAATGTGAAAGGTCGAGGAATTGTGATTACTGGAGACGTTGAAATACTGTAGAATGAAGCTACACTCCTCCTGGTTGGCTGAAAAGTTTATTGACAGCAAAGTATTAGGAAAGTTCAAACGGAAGTCAAATTAGAGTCAACAGTATAAGGTTTGTATATTTTTACTTGAATAAAGAACTGTTGTGTCGTCCGCATAAAGGAAAAAGGACAGGAGTTTGGAATATATGTGAATATAATTTTATATAGGCCTAAACAAAATAAAAGAGGGCCTAAAAGAGATCCCTGGAGAACACCACAGGTAATTGAACGAAAATTAGAAATAGAACTAGAGCATTAATACACTGAGCGCGATTTGTAAAAATCGCCGGACCCGAGTACCATATATCACGGTGCGATAGCTATAAAAGAATGGTATTGTCAATTGTGTCAGAGAAAGGAAAGGTCAGTCAAAACTGATAGTATATTGTCTGTTCTCATGCATCAACATTTTTATTAGATCGGTAAGTGCCATGGAGGTATTGTAGACTTTCCTAAGCCCCTATTTTATGCTATAGAACATATTAAAATTGATAATATAATAAAAGAGTTTTGTCATATTTTTTCTCTTATTTTTATTACTTTTGAAAATACTAGATGGAATTCTTCCAAGTATAAAATATGTGTTTGGAGTCGGCCAAACTATCGTCGCCACAAAAAAAATTATGCGGGTAAAGATTGCTCCGATTACTTAAATCCCTGAAGTGAAGGACATTTAATGCTTTAAAAGTATGAATTTGCTATTTCCGGGCATTTATACTAGAGGGAGACATTCTTTTCCAACATTTGCTCACCTCAGCGAGTGCCAGCCATGGTGGAGTAGGTGGGTGTGGGCAGGATTGTATTCTACTACTTAACTTAATGTCTTGTGTCTAAAGTCTACAGTACGGTACCAAACCGGAATGCCTCCAGTTCAACGAGGAATCGACCGGATTGTAGATGGTGTCCGCCACCCTTGGGTCACCACAGATGAAATCCTGGAGGCGATGAAAACGTTTGAAGTTCGTACAGATGACATTTGGGTGATTACGTACCCAAAAGCTGGTAAGAATATGAGAACTAAATATTGTTTGAAGGTTTGCATTTTGAAGTAATACTATGTAAATGCTTGGGGTGCACCACGTAAGTTTTGTTGAGAATGTCTCGACGTTTCGATTGAGTTGCTTCAATCGTGATCAGGAGAAATTGGAATTCACTTTCTAAAAATTATTTTTATTAATTCTAAAATTTCATTAGTGAAGTCCTTAAAAAAGGTCTCCCGTGTGGAAGAAATATATAGGCCTAGGCCTATTTCTATACCATTAATTATATTCTTATTATGATTCAGGAACTACATGGATGCAGGAGATTGTTTCGATTCTCTACCACGGCTGCGATATCCAGAAAGCAGACGAAATCAGCATCTTAAAACGGTTCTTGTTTCTTGACCAACAAAAAACAGATGTACCGCCGCATAATGAAGCCATGAGAATGCCATCGCCTAGACTTATTAAAACGCATCTACCGCCAAAACACATGGCGAAGCAGCTCATCATAAAGAAACCAAAGGCAAGATTTAGGGACACTATTACAGTCTGGCAACATTCATTGATTATTTATCTCATCTTTTTTAAAATTTGTATTCACTTTTCTTATAGATTGTGTATGTCGGGAGAAACCCTAAGGATAATGCAGTATCATTGTATAACTTTCACCGTGCCAATACATATCTAAGAACGTACGAAACCTGGGATGAATTCTTTGATGCTTTCTGCGCTGATGACGGTTATTTTATATTCTTATTTTACTACAATTTGAGCATTAAAGAATACATATATGTGTGTATGTGTGTATGTATGTATAATGTATATGTATGTATATATGTATATAATATGTATTTTTTATAATTGATGATAATTTGACCTTTTTTGTTTTTTGTAATGAATTGAATTTATAATGTTTCTTAGCTTTTGTATTTTGCTGTTTTGCATTTGTAAATAATTTTTTTGTGAACAGGTGTTGTGATGCAAAAAATTTCAGCTTCGGCTGCCGTTTTGTAATTGTTTTTTATATGTTTATACCTGAATAAATTAAATAAATAAAAATATGTATGTATATATATATATATGTATATATTTGTATATATGTGTATATATGGGTGTACATGTATGTGTATATATGTATGCGTAGGGCCTATATATGTATGCGTATATATGTATGTATGTATATATGGGTGTATGTATATAGTCTCTTATTATATATATATATATATATATATATATATATATATGTATGTATGTATTTGTATGTATACATGTCCGTATGTATATATGTGCAATGTGGTCATCCAATATATATGCATGCATGTGTGGGTGGTGGAGGGGTGTGATACTCTTTATTTAATCTCATTTTTCTGTCAGGAGGTAAGACGTAATTTTATAGGTTATGCTGTGTGATTATTAATGATTAAATATTGTAATTAATAATGTATTTTTAATGTAGTTATTGATGGTTCCTGGTTTGATATGAATATTTACTGGTGGAGCCTACGGAATGAAGAAAACGTTCTGTTTATCAAATATGAAGATATGAGGAAGGTCTGTAAATCGTTGTTAGCATTGTGCAATCTGAATTGTTGTTCTTGTGTTTTGGAGTCCACAATAAATTTCAATTAAATTTGATTATCTGATTTAATTGTAGCGTTTAATATCATTTTAATCAATTTTTTTCAAAGGATCTTGCAAGTGTGATAGAAAGAGTCTCCAAGTTTTTTGGCTGGTCAATTCCTGATAAAAAACTACAAGATATTGTAAAGCACTGTACATTTGACTCTATGAAGAAAAATCCAAAAACTAACTTTTCAGATTGTGAAAATATTGACCAATCACTATCAGCCTTTATGAGAAAAGGTTTGTTGAATTATCAACCAATTAAAATCTGCCTTATATTAAGGTGAAGGATACTCTTGAAAAGAACCAACTTAAAAACATGTACCAAGTGATAAAATCTGGTGGGACAAGAATCAACTATAGGTTTTAACTTCCAATGTGACACAAATTCAATTCATATGCATATATGCAAATTTTATTACCAATCATTTCATTTGTGAATCCAAAAATGAATTGTATAATTAATGCGTCTGTTAATCAGCAATTAAGCATTTTCTCATTCTATTTATAATATATTATATTTAAACTGTTTTTAAGTGTTGTAAGTGAACACAAACATCTCATAATAATATTAATAATACTAATAGTAATCTTATGTAGTGCATCATGCCAGTGTCTTTATGCTCTTCACGTTATACCAGTAGTGAACTTGGTTAAATAACAAAATAACGAAAATTATGACAGAAAGACAGCATTTTAAAAACTAGTGTCAGTCGATACTAGGCATATAATTTCATTTATTTTGCCAAAAAAACGTTTGAAAAACACACAATAGACTGAGAAAACAAGACAATACCATACATTATTATTATTATTATTTGGCATCTCTATTCAAAAGAAGCAACATAAATGTTTGATTTTTTTAAATAAAATGGCCACAAACTATATGCCTACGTTTGATATATTGTATATTATATGCATTTTATTGAAATTATAAAGAGGGCCCTGAACATCAACTGAAGGGGTTGATATAAAATTATTATTATGTTGGCAGACATTCAGAAGAGTCAACAGAAGAGTTTGAATCAAGTGGAGGGCGCTATACAAAAACTGTTCAGGGAACAGTGAAATTACAATTTCCCTGTTCCCTGGTTGCAATCTTGATTTTTTTTAAATAAACCAATATCAGTTCGATAAATAAATTGTGTCTATGTTTATCTTTTGATTGTATTTATTTAGGTGAAGTCGGAGATTGGAAAAATTACTTCACCAAGGCTCAGAATGCGAAATTTGACAAATTATACGCCGATAGGATGAAAGGATCAAGTCTCGTATTCGAATTCGAATTATAGTCAATTGAACTCCGTTTTAATTATTGCTAAGCCCTGTACAGACTATCATATTTTATTTGACAAAAACAAAAGAATATGGTCATGATGACATCACATCATGACCATATATTGGCGCATCATGACCGTATATAGGCACATCGTGACCATATATAGGCACATCAGGTCTATATTTTTATTTTATTTAACTTCAACTAGCAAGACCAGAACATGTGAACAAGCACCTCTACAGGGCCGTCTTACCACCGGAGTGAGATAAATGAAACAACAAAAATAAATATAATATGGATAAGAATAAATATATGTCCAATTCACAAATAACAATTAAAATTAAGAAAAAAAAAGATCATAATCTAACAACAACCAGAACGGTGACAAAATGAAACCCAAGTGCAGATGTTATCAGCAAAAAAAATTAGATTTCAATTTAGAATTGTAACATTCAATCACCTTGTTTGTGAAAGATGGAAAATAAGAATCTGATCGAATTGCTAAAAGAAGATTATTCCAGATGGGCACTATTCGTTGAAAATAAAACGATTTATGGGATTTTGTTTTGCATCGACGGACAGATAACATTAAAGAATTTGACGAAAGTCTGGTGGCAGGACGGCCCTGTGAGCAATTTAAATGCACATAGTCATCTATAGAAATGTCATAAATTCCAAAAGAACTTAAAAAAAAAATAAAGATATCTCTACGCTTAAGACGCGACTTATAATCAAGGTCGGGATATTGCAATAAATATATGGGCATACAGACGTTTTTTGGTGAAGAAAATTCGATAATCTGGACAGAGCTTTGGTATACTTGGTTAGCATCAATACTGATATATTGTATATAGGTAATATTGATTTAAGGAATGCTGAAGAAGGTGGGCGGTAAGAATCAGTCTTGAAAATTCCAAACTGCTCATGGGGTAGTTTTGAATTATATTTAATCAATTATATACACATATTATATACATATATATAATTTAAATTCTTTAAAGTTAAATTTTTTTCTTCTTTTTTTTTTGTTTCTGATCAATGATTAATTAATTTGCTCTATATTTAGTTTCGTATTTCACTAACTTCGATAATTGCTTTCTGTATTTTGTTCATTTTGTTTTATTATATTATAATTGACCTATATTGTTTATAATTGTATTTATATTAAACTGGATGGGTGAGGTTCGCAGACTTTCTGTTATAGTGATTAAAGCTGCTCTCCCACCTAGGTTTATTTCACCTAAGAGTCGTACGATTTCTACGAGTTAAAACTCGTGATCTTTGGAAAGGACCTATACGAGCTTATTACGTGTTAGCTACGAGTGAGGTACGACTT